TGACATGATGTCGAGATACTTTTCTTCATTTTATACATTTAAACAGGAAAAAAGGGATGTTCGATGTCCATTATTTTCCTAACAACGTGATGTGATCGCACACCTTTTATGAGGCAGAGCAAACTCTTTTGCGCACGTTCAAGAATAAAGTACAATAACTTTAATTGTATCACATGCTTTAAAGCCAGATGGCTTCTGATTGGCTGTCAGTGTTTTTATCGTTCATCATTTGGGGGAAAATGATCCCAACAGTGGCGGCCGTGCATTTCACACCTAGGCCTTCAGCGTGTCCTACCTGAATTAATCCACCTCTTAATACCATCATTATGACGCCACGTCTATATTAGAAACCATCAATATTTCACACAAATGCAGTATAACAGCATTAATGCAGTATAATCACAGACACATCTCATGTAGCGAGAATGAATGTCATTACTAAGGCAAGAAACCCAATTAACACAATTCAAGTCTCCGTTCACTGCAGCCACAGCTGTCCCATACATCATCTCTAGCTGAAGCATCAACATTAACCTAATAAAATGACAAAAATATAGTCCGCCCTGAACCATAGACTGTAAAAAAAAAAGATGGACGACGCACCTTCACGCTCTTCCATTGTAAAAAAGTGGAGCCGCCAGTGTCCCAATAGGTTGTTTGCAATCACATGATTCTGATGACGCGTGAAATTCAGATGGAGGGCAGGAAGTAAAAAGCAGAACGGATGAGATGGAGGAAAGTCCGTGCTGTACTGGTTTAGACACTATTACAAGAGAAAGGTATAAACAGAAAATCACAACATACGTTGGACATGATCCTAATACTATGAAGAGGAGCGATTTTTTCAACTAAATTGGAATGCTTGCCTGCCATTGAGGCGGTGGATATAGGCTAACCCTGACATAACCCACATTTATATGAGAGATGCGGGATATATGTCACTCCAGAAACTTTGCTGCATGTACAGTACAGGGTATGTGGCCGCTGGTCCTGTTAGCAGCACGTAAAACAAAACTTTTATTCAAACTGAATTGATTATAGCCTAGAAAGCAAGCAAATAGCGTTTCCATATAATCACTAAAAAGCTGTCACTCACTCCAATTTATCACAATCTCACATTGTTCTGTTATAATCAATGAAGCTCTCTAAACTGCACATTTAATATCTTATTTACATCGTGTTTGCGTGTGGCGTTTAGCATTGAGTGACTTCTGACTGTCTCATGCTTGAATGGTGAGAGTTGGCAGCCCTGTATCTTTTTATGTATTTCTTTATTAATATATTATTAATATATTACTATATTAACCATTTGCACATATGAGCATTAGCCGACTCGGCTCCTCCCGACCGCAGATGCAGGTTTACAAGACACTTTTTCCTGCGTTTTTCAGTCAATTTCTTGCCTTTTCTCCCCTTATGAACAACAACATTTTCGTACACGATAAAAAGCTCCTTGTGGCTTCTTGGTTTGACCGATTTGAGCATCCATAAACAAAGCAAAACATAGGCATTTTGAGTTTCTGCTAGCAATTCCTATATAGAAAAATCGCTTCTTGCCCTCCAGCTGCATTTCGCGCCACAGCAATGACGTCAAATGCGAACAACCTATAGGGCGCTGACATCTTGCACTGATTCGGGACCCGTGTCTGCGCATGCGCAGTAGTGCGTCGATCGCGAGCACATGCCCCTGACCCTTTTTCAATTAGCCTGACTGCTCCAATTTTGATATCTGCTGACTGCCGTAGAAGAGGCTTGTTAAAATAAGATAAATACAACTACTAACCACCTAGGCTAGTCATATTTAAAAAAGTAACAAATTAATATATTTATACTATATATATATATATTTTATACAGCTGTATCACCCATCGATCATGACGTCACACTCCTGTTTTTATAGCATGAAATAACGAACTAAAGCAAGCTTATTTATAAAACGAGCACTTGAACTTACATCAGCGTGATAAAAACTGCATAAAATAACAAAAAAAAATATTTGAAAAAATTTAATAACTCTTTAGTTTGTCCCACTTCCTATTAGACATGGAGAGGGCGAGGTTTATGACCACCTGGGGGCGATCAAAACGATTTGGCTTTACTTTTCAGGACTTGTGTGGCACGCTTGGGGAAAATGCATTTTGAGTAAATCTATACAGTGATGCACTTACCTATACTGTCCAGCAGGGCGCACTGTAGTCTATCGTAGAATCGTATTTGAGCGCAGGCTTTAGTTTCTCTCCGCTCAGCTGCTCTCCAGCCGACGGCCGGTCACACTGACCCCGGACAGCAGAGACTCGTGTGCTGCAGGGGGTGTTGGGTGTCCGGTGCTGGGGTGTATGTGTCAGAGCTGTTGGGTGTTTCGAGGGTCAGGCCAGCGTGATCGCCCTTAAAACTCAAGTTCGGGGGTGTAATGGTTTTACTGGCTTCCAGTAGAGACCCGCAAACCACACGGCGCAGAGACACAGATGGGCGGTCTGGAAAGAGTTTCTGCGTCACATCAGCGGTGTTAATAATAACCCGTCACACGCACTCAGAGTCGTGCTGTCTGTGCTTCATTCCAGCCGTGCTCGAGACAGCTGAGCGAGTGAAAGTCTAGAGACTCAACACAGATCAGATGAGCCCACAGATGATCGGATGCATGCAGGAACGGGTCAGACAGAACGCTTTCGGAGCTCTGAACAATGCTGCTGTGACAGCATCGAAACACAATTAACTGTCGTGGTCTGTGAGACGAATAGAGGGTTTGCCCAAGATCTGTGAGCAAACACAAACAAACGCCAGATTTGCTGTCTGAAGACATATGCACTTATCCAGATATCACTAATCACTGGAATGCACCGATATGCCAATATATATATATATATATACATATATATATTGACTGTTTAGTTTCTTAATGCATGCTCCTGGTCTTATTTTTAATGTTTGAGAGAAAGTATCCTACAGCGGTATTCATCCATGAATGAACACGAGTGGAGTCCCTGAACGACACACAAGAACGATCCAACTTGGCAGAAATTCACGGAAAAACAGTAAAGCGGTAAAGAACGGTTCATATTTTACATGAAGGATTAATAAAACATTGGTTTCAGAATCACACAAGGTTGGAAATCCAATCTCAGAATGAATGCAACACTGAATGAGACTGGCACAGTGCACTGCTGTGTTGTTATTGTTAACTTTAACTTGGAATAGGCTAAAGGTGGGAAAAAGTGAACGCCAAGGACAACATGAAATGGCATCTCAATGTATTTGGCATCTGCACTGCGATGCATTTCTAAATGTGAAACTGACATGGGATTTGGTTAATATTTCAAACGTTTCAAAATTGGAAAAACTACTGAAAAACTGCCATTTTCTTTCAAATAAGAAGCACCGATGAATTGTGTATTACAATACCAGTGCATTTATTAACCCAACAAACACAGAACGTTCCTCTAGCGTTCTCATATGGCTGTTTTGGGAACCAAATAGCCTAATAACATTTTAGAAACATCTCTGCTGGTTCTTTTTTTCAATCCAGAAAATAACCTTCCCAGAACGTTCGAGGAACCTAGAATTGTCTAGGAAGAAATAATAATTAATAGTTATAATAAATGCACAGAATTATTCATTAATGTATTTTCTCAAGGCTTGTTCAACATTTCATTTCATACTTAACGTTTTTAAACCGCAGTACTCAAGGGGGCGCTAGAGTTTTCTTTCAAATACCTGTGTCATTAAACCAGATGTGTTATCATTACAGCTATATATCAACATGTTTATCTAACCTGCTTTATTAGGGTTAGATGCATAATTTATTCAACCAAATGACGGCAGTTGATCTGAAAGAAAACAGACCTGTTTCCTCAAAATCCTGTTATAAAGGTGTTCAGGTAACATACTTTTAGCAATGAAATCAGGCTTGTGTTTCTGAAAGCGCTTGTGTTCACATGATAAAATGAACATTTCACAATGTTCTCCACAGTTGGGCAGTTTGTAGAAAACACCCTGCAACACAAACACAAGAAACATGAAAATGACACCATGATGTTTTCATTAGGAGTGTTTTATTCCAGACTCGTTCTGAGTCCAAGGAACAGAAACTCAACAAACACACACAGCATAAACGCGTAATCCCCACAAACTCGCTCATGAACACAGTCCAGTCGTCAGTCAGAAGAAGTGACCGCTCAATAACTATAAACAAAGCTTTAAACAAAAGCAGCGTTCATCGTCTCGCAGCAGCACACGCGTGCAGGCAAGAGTTCATGATACACAAACACACACTCACACACACACTCTCACACACACAAACACACACACACACACACACACACACACACACACACACACACACGGAACTGACAATACATATCAAACAAAGCAAAAGAAAAGAACAATGGAGACACAGGACAAGTTATTGTCTTTTTCACGTTAGGTTATAATCAAGAAGACATACAATCAAGAAAGAGCAAACCATTCAACAAAAATGTAAGGTTATTTGAACCGGAAATAAAGCTAGTCGAACCAAATCAGGTCATGCAAAGCATACTGAAACACAGTTATTGCTGTTTGAGTCTGAATCTTAAATAGTATTTCAAAAACAAACACACAAACACACACACACACACATTACGACACACTTTCTCTGTATCACTTTCAGACGTATGAAATCAGACAACAAGAACAGACAGAAACAAACAAACACAACTTCTGTCCGTAACCAAGAACCGCAACTTAAGGGAGGATTGATGACTGAGATCCATCCATCTGGACCCACTGAAAAACCTGCCAAAAACACACCCAGGGCCTCATTTCACCCCAAAATCAACACAAATCAAGAAATATTTTGCATTAAAAAAAAATCCAAAAATAAATTGTGCCATTATTCTCAGGACAATTTTTTAAAAATCTAATTTTTTTTATTACAGTAATATGAAAAAAATATTATTTAAATTCAGCACTACAAATAGAGCCATTATATACAACTGTTTCACTATTTAAATACAATGTTATTGTTTTTTTTCCCCTCACTTTATTATTATAATTCTAACATTATGACAGTGTTTTGGTTCACAGAACATACATTATTAAGTTGTGTTTAAATATGTTTAATTAGTATTCACAAATCAAGCTTAATAATAATTGTAATAATAATATTAATAATATAATTTATAACAATATTATTATTATTATTATTATTATTATATCAACAAAGTTAAAGTAAATTAAATATTGAAATAAGTGAAATATTCATACATAATGGCAGGATTTACAGTATTGAATTTAAATTTAAGATGATTAAAGAACAGTATAACTGTAAAATTGAAACATTTGACAGTAATAAATCTAAAGAAACCCCAGTTAAAAATTATGAATTATAAATTAAAATAAAAATGTAATAAAAAAAAAAAGCCTCTGGATTAAATGCAGTAATGAGAATTTTGGAGGGGCAATGTTTCATTATTATTAAAATCATGTAAACTGGTTCTAAAATAATCCTAATTTCATTTACAAGCATCCTAAATATAGTTTATTTATTTCTTTTAATTTTGGGATAAAATGTGACCCGGACCGAGGCATGAACAAAAAAAACATGCATTTTTTGATGAGATTCAGCCAGAGTCCTGTAACACCAGCAGAGGTCTGTCTGTGCATCTCTCAGTCTGTGTCTATGTGGCAGGGGTTTGTCCCCGCATCCAGAGCCGCTCGTTACAGTCTGATGAAGTCTTTATAGAGAGCAGCACATCGCAGCCACGCTTCCTGGAACCGCACCGCGCCCGTGAAGAGGAGCTCGCCCTGTGCTGCTCGCGGTCCGCAACGCCGCGGTATCTTCACACGACCCGTCCACCGGCCGCGCCCGCGCCCCCTGCCGCCAGACACAAACACACGGCTCTTCTGACGGTACACGTGACTCAACGACAACACCACTGACGCCTGAGCTTCATCATCCTCCTCCACGTGATGAATACTGCCGCGCACCACTGAGAGAAAGAGCAGCAGCAGTGACGGAGATTTACCACGATTTACAGAATAAAAGTCACAATTTTTAACATCTGAAATATGACCATGGACCACAAAACCAGCCATAAGTGTACATTTTTCGAAATTGAGATTTATACACCATATGAAAGCTGAATAAATAAGCTTTCCATTGATGTATGGTTTGTTAGGATAGGAGGACAATATTTGGCTGAGATGCAACTATTTGAAAATCTGGAATCTGAGGGTGCAAAAAAATCTAAATATTGAGAAAATCATCTTTAAAGTTGTCCAATGAAGTTCGTAGCAATGCATATTACTAATCAAAAATTAAGTTTTGATATATTTACAGTAGGACATTTACAAAATATCTTCATGGAACATGATCTTTACTAAATATCCTAATGATTTTTGGCATAAAAGAAAAATCGATAATTTTGACCCATACAATGTATTGTTGGCTATTGCTACAAATATACCCCAGCGACTTAAGAATGCTTTTGTGCTCCAGGGTCACAAATGTGCTGCAGCTTATATAACACAATTGATATCAAGCAGGCAAAACATGCATGAAGTATTTTCTTTTTAATTAACCTATTTTCCAAAATACAAGTTGTGTTTTTTAATCGTCTGAAATGTGCTTCACATTATATTCCAACGCGACATCTATAATGCAATTAAAGTCAAGCATGCAAAACATGCGCAAATAATTGTTTTCCTTGTAATTACCCTATTTTCCAAAATATAAGCAGTTTTTTTTCTTCATCTGAAACGTGCTGCGATTTATTTTCCAACGCTTTTATAATGAAATCAATATGAAGCATGCAAAACATGCGCAAATTATGTTTTTTTTTTTTTATTACCGTTTTTGGAATGTCACATTTTTTATAATTTGAAACATGCGGCGACTTATTCTCCAAAGCAACTTATACAATGCAATTAATGTCAAGCACACAAAACATAAAATACATGTCTATAGTAATGTTATTAACCTGTATTTTACATTATGAATGTAGTAATAAAATGTGACTTTACCACTTATGTAACTTATTTTGCAACTTTTTTTCTCTCAACAATGAGACTGTGTGACTTATAGTCAGGTGTGACTTATTTTCTGGAAAATACATCATGACTTCACAGGAGTTTAATAATAGGGTAAATAAGAGTTTAAAACAGTAAGAAGCAGGTGGATCTTACCGAAGTCGCTGGTGCAGATCACCATCAGCAGCTCGTCATCAGCACAGGGCCTGCATGCAGCTGAAACACACACACACATACACACACACACACACACACACACACACACACACACACTCACACACACACACACA